TTTTTTTTTTTTTAAGAAGCAGGAGCGAGAAGGCCTCTCCTTTAACCATAATACTCAGACATCTAATGGCCGTTTGTTTTCTTCTCTTTTTCTTTTGTGTGTTTAGGCAAGGAAACAGTTACTGTTCTTCCAGGAGCCTCTTACTTCTCCAGCGATGAATCATTTGCAATGATTAGAGGGTAGGTAATAGCGGGGCCCCTCCTGTTTCACACGGTGGGGAGAGAGCTGCATCGCCCCCCAGAGTGAGTTATCAGTGCTCTGAAATCCAGACTTCAAACTGGTTCATTCTGGTTTCACCTCCTGTTGGGAGTTTTGGTTTCTATCCCAGATTACCGAATCAGCATGTACATTTTACCAAGATCCCCAGGTGATGCCTGTAGATTCACAGGTCACCTTTATGTGTACATAAAATTCTTATTTAGTGTAACTGGGCTGGGAATGGAAATTTCCAGCAGGGGTTGCACCAGAATGAACTTCTGGGAAGCCTTGCGTGAGACACAGCCCATCCGTCACCTGTAACACTGTTATGGGCTTCTTGTTTGGCTGCGACTGTCAGTGAAATCATTCAAATGGAAGGTGGGGAACTGAAATCTGTACTCTGCTGTTACTAGGCAATCCCCCAAATGGAATATTTATGCATGTGTATGTCACCTATATCCACGTGAACATTGCTAACTTTCTTTCTGAGGATCAAACACTGTTTTTCAAGCTGTGCGTTCAGTTCTAGTTAACGGTTGCCTTGAAATTCAGTCCTATCAGGGCTTCCAAGGGATTTATTCCCATTTGCGCCTCTACTAGGAATTTGCCTTTCTAGCCCAGACATACTGAATCAAAATCTACATTATTAAAAGTTCTTGTTACAATGTAGACTCTGGCTAAGTTTATCTAAGCGGAAAGACAGATTCTTAGCAGGGGTTGAACCCAACTGAACCAGCTCTACCGAGGGAACCGTATTCTCTGTATAGACCTCTTTTTAATTTGTTTTTGGCCGCAACGTAGGGTAAAAATTTTAAAGAACCCGAATGGTCATTTTTCAACATAAAAAGAGATGGATAGTAAATCTGAGCTTCGAGTTGACCTATTAGGAATCCAGTTGCGGAGCGAGTGGAAAGCTGCTACACGTGGGAGTGAGAAGGCACCTGGCAGTGTTCATCGATGGTGGCTTTTTAGCCAAGGCCACAGAAGCCTGGGAAGTCTGTGTCACAGCCCCTTTCTCTGTCTCCCTCAGGGGCCATGTCGATTTAACAATGCTGGGCGCAATGCAGGTTTCCAAATATGGGGACCTGGCTAACTGGATGATACCTGTAAGTAGCAACTTTTCTTTCTTACTTTTTGGGGAGTCAGAAGAGTTAGCTTTTTCAGAAAAGAAAATTCCTGTCCCATGGCCACGAGTGCTAGATGATTATTGAGAAAGTGAGCAAATATCTCAATGTTTATTTCTCATGCGACTCAAATTCCAATTGAGCAGTCACAGAAACATACTCACATTTGCCAGCACGGCTCAGTCATGGGACACTCAACAGTAGGCAAGGCTAGACCCGAATCACCACTGTCTTAGAAAAGGAGTCAGAAGGTGAAAGAGATACATTAAGGAAATGGGCTTATTATGCCCTGATGAAAATAGGAAACAAATATTTATCATGTTTGGAAGAACAATTAAGATCATTAATTTTATGTTAACGCTCTTATTATTTGTAGTGATCAAGCTCCTCTTTGGTCATGTGATTGATGCCAAGCATATAGCATCACATTGGCTTCTCTTATGGAATGAAAGACCCGTGGCGATTTTAACAAACATTTAAGGCTTAATCTCTTTCTGTGCTAAATAGCCATACTCTCGAACTTCTAAATTTTACCTGCTTTTGAATAATTGCACCCCTTTCCATCCCACGGTCCCCACCACTGTGCCATTTCAACCCACAACCTCTTTGTGATACTAAAGAGGATTACATGTTCACAGTGGAACGAAATGTGTGCAGAAAACCTCTTAAGAAAAAAAAAAGATGATTTCTCCTTACCTGTTATATGCTTTATTTTATGAGGCACTCTGTTATTTAGCTGGAAGGTAACTTCAAGGGATGATTTCTGTTCAAAGTGTAAACAGTATCTCAGCAGCAACTGGGGATTTCAGAGCCCATGGGCAGCCAAATAAGGGGCAACTTTTGGTCTCTCCCCATCCGGAGGGAAGAAGAGCCATAAAAATGGAGAGACACATGGAAATAATTCGTCCAGTAGACCAGTGGACAAACAAACGTACGTCTTCCCAACCCCGACCAGAAGAATGAGATGATTCCTGGCTGCCACTGTCAACTTAAAAAGCCCTGGATAGAGCGGGAGAAAAAAAGTAGAAGAGAACTCCAAATCATAAAAGAAATGAAGCTAACTGGTTGGATGGAGACTGGAGGTATCCTCAAGACCATGGCCTTCAGGTCTGGACGTGACTCACTAAAGCTAAACTCATCAGCAATTTAAGATCCAAGGGGAAGCATTTACAAAGTTCAGAGGATTAGGAAAGATGGAGGAAGGGAAGCAGGAAATACAGGGAAGATGTGATGGTACTTTGAGGGGATTGCAGTGGATGACTTGAAACAAAATGTATATGAATTGTCGAATGTAAAACTAATGATCTGCTTTGTAAACCTTCACCTAATTCAGTCAGCCAGTCTAGTAGGTCTGGACTTTCAAGTGACCATGTATAGGGTTTCTGAGACCTCTTCTTTCTCCCGAGGTGATTTGAACCGTTAACCTTTTCGTTAGCAGCAACACTTACCTGACAGCGCCACCAAGGCTGTTTTAGGGCGTTATGTAAAGACTGGAAGGACATAAATGCATGAAGTATATAGTGCAGAGCTTGACCCATGTTGTTGTTGCTGTGAGGTGCTGTAGAATCGGTCCTGACTCATAGCTACACTGTGTCCCACAGATCGAAATGCTACCCAGTCCTGCACCATGTTCTCAGCTGTTCTTGGGGTTGAGCCCATCCTTTGCAACCACTGTGCCAGTCCATCTGTTGAGGGCCTGCCTTTTTTCGCTGCCCCTCTACCTTACCAGGCATGACACCCTTCAATCGGGAGTGATCTCTCCTGGCAACACGTCCAAAGTATGAGAGATAAAGTCTCGTCATCCTTGCCTCTAAGGAGCACTCTGGCCAGTCTTCTGCCATGACAGTTTTATTTGTTCTTGTGGCAGTCCATGGCACGTTCAATGTTCATCACCAGCACCATAATTAAAATACATAGATGGTTTTTTGGCCTTTCTTATTTATTGTACGTCCATCTTTCACAGGCATGTGATGCGATTGAAAATACCCTGGCTTGGGTCTTGCCTTTAGGGAACTTGGGCATCTTCACAAAGTCAGTACAAGATTTGTGTAAAGTAGTATTGAACACGCAGAGAGGCTGCAAGCTAGCACAGTGTGCACATAATATATTTGCTGTTTATAGGAAAACACTATTTTACCAGTTTCTGTCAACGTTTTATAAAGCCAGTTAAGAGTTTCTGGGAATCATTTTCCTATATGAGGGGGCTTCAAAAAGTCCAGGGAAAAATGGAATTAAAAGGTAATGGGATTTTCCACGCAAATTTTTTGAAGCCTGCCCACGCCACCACTCCCTTGTAGAGTTTGAAGTATGTTTCCAAAGGAGTGGACTTAGCGGGGGCCTCTCAAATGATCAGGGAACACTATGTCATGTTGATTGGAAAAAAAGTGACACATAAGAAATGTTCTTGTGTCTGGAGGTTGATTGGTGTCAAGTTGTCGTTTCTGATTATAATTCCCTTAATGAGTGTTAATCCTGCCTCTTTGTGTGGGATGGAGGGTGTATGTTTTGATTCTTCGGGATACAGGAGAGTTTTAAAGTTAAGACCATGGGCTGTATTTTGGAGTAGATCTGGTTAGAACTTCAGCTTTACCCCTTACTAATTACATACTGTGGAACAAATGCTTTTGTAAGGATTAAGTGGAAATAGAGTGAAAAGTGAACATTCTAGCACTCCATAAAGATTGGCTGGTATTTTTGTCATTTTTGATCATTAATTGCTTAACATTACAGAGGAAATGTTTACTTTAAAAGTATACTACCATAAATAAGGCTGTATTTCATAGAAACGAGTACAGTTTGCTCATCTTAAGTTCACACTGAATTACCAAAAATTAAACTCTTAGAAAACACCTTTTTTTGCCTTTATTTATATGGATAAGATACAGCTTAGCCTCATTATGTAGTGTCAGTAAGCCATCTATTTCGGTTTTTCCCAAAGATTTATACTGCTTCATAAAATGTAGAAGTCGTTTTATTGCAAGATCTGGGAGTCAAGAAGCTGAAAAGTTCAACTTTATTATATCACTTTTTATTTACTTTTATGTGCTTACTGAGCTTAATGATCTTTCAATGGTTGTGTAAGTCTTGCGTTTCTCTGCATCCTGGCATCCCCATCAATCTTTACCATGTCAGATTATAGTAAACATCAAGCCTCTAAGGCAGACAAATGGTGTGGATGATATTCATCTTATCCGTTATTAGCTTCTTAGTATGCAGCATTGGTCCCATGCACACACAGGTTTAAACATTTTTGTCCTGAGCATCTGAAGAGGGGAAATTTGGCAAAGTGGCAGGTGGGGCCTTTTCGTTCCTTGCTTGTTGAAGTGGTGATAAGCCTCAGGCTAGCTTAGGAAAGGCAGAAAAATGAGCAGTCCATCGAATCTACATTCAAAACGGCTCTGGTGCCTTCATAATGCCTATTTTTGGAAAACAGCTGCCTTAGATTAGGGACTTGTGAAGGGACGCAGATGTGGACGATGTGCTGTGGGAGCCGTTCGTTACGTGCCCACAACAGTAGCATGAGTGACCGAGCAGCTCGAGGCCCACTCCCTTTGGGGGAAGGAGGGGAGGAAGGCATTCTTATGGCAAAGGAGAGTGCGATGTTTCGATGTCTGGTATTTGTTTTTAAATTTTCATTGGTGCATTTAAAAGTAAGTACAAATTAATGTTGCTACATGGCTGTGTTTATAAAATGGGCCTCTTCCTCTAAACATGTACCGTCTGTTCTAAATAAACTAGGTCTCTAGTCTTTCTAGTGAGAGCACCAAAGGTGTTTGCATTAGTGATTTATTCTAGTGGTTGAGTACCCCCGTTGTGGTACCCAAACCTACTAAAGTTTATACACACTCTAAATATAAATATAAAGAGGATGTTGTAAACCTGTAGATAATGTTTTTCACATCCCTCTGTCTTATTCATCTGGCCCTCAGGTTCAGGAAAGTGTAAACCATGAGTGAGTAGAAAGGACAGGTGGATGATGTGAACACAATGGATGATATGAATGGGTGTGGGTCAAATTGTTCAGTGATATGTCAACTCGTTGGTGTGACACCATGGAGCGCCCCCAGGACTCTGACCTGTGTTTAGATGTGGGCCCTGCCATTTATTAATGGTGTTCCAGATCTTTATTCCCCAATATATTCATTTGTAAAATGACTATTTACTTTGTATGGTTGTTTTGAGGATTAAGTTAATTCATTCAATCTACAAATATTTATTAGATATGTATGAAGGGAACGTGGGAGAAAGATGAGGCTGTCTGATCCCATCAAGAGGGACAGTCTTGGGGACCCTAGCGATCACCTACGCTCTGCCTTGTAAAGTCCCCATGAGTTGGGATTGACTCGATGGCAGTGAGTTTTGGTTTGCTATTAAGGCCCATTAAGAGTTTGCTAGTCTAGGCTTTGGGGGTTGCAGCAGTTAAAAAAAAGATCAAGAAATTCCCTGCATCTGTGCAGCTGATACGCAGGCAGGGCCCGGCAAATTGGACTCATGGACCACATCTGGCTCACTGCCTGGCTTTTTAAATAAAGCTTTATTGGAGCACAGCCACATTGAGGTATTGTCTGTGGCTATATCTATGGCTACTTTGGGGTTGCAACAGTAGAGCTGACTCGTTGTGACTGACTGAGACTATATGGCCTGTTGTTATTAATTACATTTTTACCATTTGACCCTTTACAGAAACAAGCTGTCTTCACTCATTGATTTGAAATAGCTTTCTTCTGGAATATGCATTATAACGCTGTACATTTCCCTTGGGCACTGTTTTAGAAGAATCCCAGAAACTAATATGTTACATTTCCATTCTCCTTGGAAGACTTTCGGATCACCTTTATGATTTCTTCTGGAACTCATTGGTTATTTGCGTGTCATTTACTCCCCAAATACATAGTGATTTTCCAGTTATTTTTCTGTGAGTAATGTCTAATTTATTTCTGCTAAGTAGAGAACTACCATGTGTAATGTTGATGCTTTTCAGT